TTAAATTGGAGGTACCATTGCATTTATTAAGGCTTTTGGCTCTTTTTTCCCCTTACATATTTTATAAATATTTTCTCAGCCTATCATTTGCTTATATATTTTCTTGTTATATCTTTTCCTAGAAAAATTAAAAATTTGCATGTAGTCAAATATATATTTTGTTTTTTAGCTTCTTGGTTTCAAGATTTGTTTGGGGATTACATAAATATTCTTTTATTCTTTCCTTTTATATTTGTTTTATATTTAAATATTTATTATGAAATCTTTAACACATTAGAAAGGAATTTCAGTATTTTTTGTTATTTAAGAGTAGGGTTTCTCAGTTGCAACACTATTGATACTGGGAGCCGATAATTTTTTTAAAGATTTTATTTATTTATTTTTGTGGGAGGGAGAGGGAGAGAAACATTGGTGTCAGAGAATCCCCCAGTCACCTCTCTCACACCTATAACTGGGAATCAGCCTGCAACCCAGGAATTTGTCCTGACTGGGAATTGAACCACTGACTTTTTGGTTTGAAGACTGGCACTCAATCCACTGAGCTACACCAACCATAGCAGGGGCCGATGATTTTTTTGTTGTGGCGGCTGGCTTGTGTATTGTAGGATGTTTAGCAGCATCCCTGGCCTCTACCACCTACATGTCAATAGCGTCTCTCTAAAATCAATGAGCGTATCCTCAAGTGAGGATTTAAAAGCGCACACACGCACACTCAGGATAGGCAAAAGTGCGTTACAGTTGTTTGTATGGAAAATGATACAATAATCAGTAAATAATAATGCAAGAATAAACTTTGTGTTTTGTGTACTCAAAACTGTAATACTTTTGCCCCACCCTCTGTATGTTTCATATATCTGAAAAAGACAGAATCCAAAATGTTTACAGGAACTTTATCTTTAAATGGTGGGAGCATGGGTAATATATTTTTTTCTTCTCGGTATTTTCAATTGTTCTGGTGGAAAACACACATTACTTGTATATACAAAGCTTCACAATTCTGAGCGGTGGGACTGTGAACGCCAGGGCGTGACATTCTGCTCCTCTTCCAAGCACAGTGTGAAGCTGGAAGCTGCAAAGATAGCCGCGGCGGGCCACCTCAGCCCCCTGCGGCGTGGCTGTGTGATCGCGGTCCTGCGAGGAAGAGCTTCCTGCGGGCTTTATAACCATTTAAGCAGTCCACGTGAATTCGGACGCTTTGAGCACTGCGAACAAAGAACCCCGCCGCTGAGCGCCCGGCAGGCGGAACTTCCCGGCGGAGGGGCGGGCTCTCCCGAAGCGGACATTTCGAACCTTCTAGGGACCGGCCCAGGTTCCGCTGGCTTCAGCCTGCTCGCTCTCCGTGCCACGCGATCAGTATGTACTGCTGGCTAAATCACTTCATTTTTTTATCATGGTAAATGTACATAAAATAAAAATTACCATTTTAACAATTTTTAAGTGCACAATTCAGTGGTGTTAAGTTCATTTACAGTGTCGGAAATATCGCCACTATCCACCTCCAGAACTTTTTCATCTTTTCCAACTGAACAGTCAACAGGAGCACCACACCCCCCGCGGCCACGCCCCGGTGGCCTCTGTTCTACTATCTGTCTCTAGGGATTTGCCTATTCTAGGTACCTGATATAAGTGGAATTGTACACTATTTGAGCTTTTGTGTATGGTTTCTTTTACTTAATATCTTCGAAGTCTATCCGTGTGGTAGCATGTGTCAGAATTTCATAACTTTTAAAGCTGTATGACACTCTGTAGCTTGCATATAACTGGGTTTCCTACTGATGGACAATTGTGTTGGTTCCGCCTTTTAGCTGCTATCAGTAATACCTCTGTGAACTTCGGGATATAAGCATCTGTTTGATTCCCAGTTTTCCATTCTTTCACACAACCAACTGAGCCACACTGTATACTGAAAATTCTCCCCATTCGGATATGAGATGTTGCCTCATTGCACGCTGGATTCTCAAATACACCTTGGACCTCTTTGGAGATTTTGCCCCATTGAACACTCTCTTTCTATGCCAGTGCCACAGTTTTTCAATACATTAACATAGTTTTACATGGTCGATACGCTGCTTGTTAGTTTTGTATTCTGCTCTTTTCCAACATACCCTTATATCACAAACATTTTTTCACAATATTAAAAATCTATAAAAACATAATCTTATTAGCTGTGATGTGTCATCACAAAATATAAAGAAAAAAGTAGAATATACCAGCTTCCAAGTCTAAGCTGTCAATTTTAAGATATATCATTACTTTAGGTACCCCTACAAAAAAAAATTGTTGCCAATTCAACTATCTCCTGCCTTTGGTTTTAAAGACACATCTCTATTTTAAAGAGGTTAAACTGAAAAACAAAAGTTTTTATAATTGCTGAAAAAGATCAATGAATAAATGTGCTTCATGTCTGTATGGGAAAGGGCTTTCAAAATTAAAGACCAATAAACTAAAAGGGGCCCTGGCTGGTGTGGATCATAGGGCTGAGTGCCGGCCTGTGAACCAAAGGGTCACCTGTTCGATTCCCAGTCAGGGCACATGCCTAGGTTGTGGGCCGGGTCCCCAGTAGAGGGGAGATGAGAGGCCACCACATATTGATGTTCCCTTCTCTTTCTCCCTCCCTTCCTATCTGCCTAAAAATAAATAGATAAAATCTTTAAAAAAAATCAATAACAGTGAAAAATGAACAGAAAAATATTCATGGCAACTATGGCCATAGGTGAACAGCCTTAGTAAAGACCAAAAGCTCACTAGAGAAAGAAGTCAAACTGACAATTTATATGAGGAAATTGGCTATAAATGCATATTATTCTACCTCCATAGCAATCAAACAGATGTAAATTTTCTCAGTATGAAATTAGCAAAGAGTAGAGGAAAGGAAATTTTTAGTTCCAGCAAAACAGAGGGACGTGGAAGCCTCTCATGTCAGAGAAGGTTGTTCATCTCTATGCTGTCATCATTAGTAGCCCTAAAGATACTGATAACTTTCACTGAGAAGTTTTACTTCTAGAAATTTATCCTGAGGAAATGATCTAGTTTTTCTATGATGATTCTACATTTACTCTTATTACAGAAAGCAACATAAGAAAATTAGGACAAAAACCCCAGAAGAGTGGCCATGTTATTAAAAGGTAAAAACATTTTATACACACACACACACACACACACACACATTTAATATACTACCAGGGGAACAGGGTTTTCCCTCATCTAATCAGAAACCAGTGTTCTTAGGTCATTTAATAGTACCAGAGCTCTCAAATGCTGTCCCCTATTATGAAGACACGTCCAGGCCTTGGCCTAGTTGGTTGGAGCATCGTTCCTATATGCCAAGGTTGTGGTTTCAATCCCAGGTCAGGGCACATATAAGGAGCAGCCAACAATGGATTTCTTTCCCTCTCTCCCTACCTCTCTCTCTCTAAAATGAAATAAATTTTTAAAAAGGAGGAGGAGGAGGAAGAGAAGAAGGAAGGAGGAAGGAAGGGAGGGAGGGAGGGACAACAACGACAGCACCTGCAGGATGTATGATGTCTTGGAGAGACAGAACCTAAGAACAAAGAGAGTTCTCCTAAGTACCCAGACATAGACCTCCTATCTGGAACACTTGGGAGTTCCACATCTTGGTGACTTAAGCAAAAATGTCTTTCATTCCCTCTGGCTCCATTTGAAGCAGCATTATTCACCCTGCCTGTTCCATTTGCATCCCCCTCACAGTTTTGCTTAAAAACAGCTATTGCTTTTGGCTGAAGACCTGCCCTGCACTTGAAGTTAACAGCTTTGCCATGGCCTTTCAAGATCAGGCCCTGCAACTTCTGAGATCCTATCTTGGATCACCCTCCATTTATTCCATAGGGGTCCTCTCCAGTTTTCGCAAACCTGTCAAAACTGTTTTGGTCTCTAAACCGTGGCATGGGTGGGAACATGCTTCGCTAGCATCTCTCCTTCCCTGTTGGGTACCGCTGTGGCAGTGTCCAACACTGCCTTATGGTGAATTTGTTATTGCCTGTGTCCACCAAGCCTGAGGTGAGGCGCGAATCCAGGATCAGACAAGGGGAGGCCTGGGAGACTACGGGCCTTGTCCGTTTCTCTCGGTGCTGCTGGAAATTCTTTTCATCATTAGCACGTGCTCTATGCGCACACAGGGTGACCCCGGGGGCTCGCAGAACACAGGACCTCCACCCGGTAAACGGACGTAACCGTTTAGATAGCCTTGGGAGCATTCCGAGGGAATCCGCTCGGGACAGCAGAGCCCGGGGCGCCCGGCTGCGGCTCGGCCCGCGCTCGCGCTGCACGAAGGGACGCGGCACCCGGCCGCACCTCGTGGGAAACGCCCGCGGCGCGTTTAGGGCCCGCGGACCCTTGGGCGGGGCAGCGGGGGTCGCAGGGTGCGAGTTCGTTAAGGGAAAAGCGGGGTTCAAGCCCAAGGCAGGGGCACCGGGACCCTGCACGGGCCGGGGCCCCAGGCCGGTCAACGGCAGGTAAGGGGAACCGGAGGCACGCTTGCTAGGACTAGCTCCAGGCACCGCGGGGATGGCTTTGGGCCAGGAGCGAGCGCAGCTCCGCAGCCCTAACGTGAGGCCCTGGGGGTGACAAAGGCTCTGAAGGGAAAGAGGGTAGAGAGGGTGGGGAGCCCCAGTGTTTCCGGGTCGGCCAAGGCGGAGGATAGGTGTAGAAAGACCGCCACCTCAGCCCCACCCAGAGCCAGGGATTATCGTGCAGCCCCGAGGAACTGGCAGCTGCCATTCCCCTCCCCCACTCTGGCGGGTTAAACCAGAACGATTTGAAGGAAGACGCATGCGTAAGAAACTGGATAATAAACCGCTGAAGTTCGGTTTTCAATAATCGCCACAAAGCGCAAGCGCAAAGAAGCCCGAAGGGTTTATGCAGGTGGGAGGGGCTGAGTCACAAACCCTTGGGCATATTAACTCGCGGGTTGGAGGTGGGCAGTTCTTGAAAGTACGCCTGCGTAAGAGCTCTGTGTGACGCAAGGGGGCGGGGCGGAAACGAGCTGCGCTTGCGCAGAGCTTGTTCAAGGGCCTTATTTAGGTTGCGCAGGCGCCCGCCAGCCATTTCACTCAGCCACGCTGAAGTCGGGTGGTCAGGTAAGTGTGTGTTGCTCGGTGCGTACTGGCCAGGAGCCCCTGAAGGTACCGCCTCTGAGAAGATTGCTTGTTCCCGGATCTTTGTAGAGTCCGGGGGCGCCTTCGCGAGGTACGGGCTGCCGCCGGGAGCTGGGAATGGCTCGCCGAGCGGTGGCAGGGCCTCTGGGCCTGCAGGCCGCGCCGTCTCTATTGTGTGAGATGTCTGAGGAGGCGGAGCGGAAGCGCGGCCGCCATTTCCCTGCCTCCACGCTGGCGCCCGGCCGGGCCCCCTGCGGCCGCAGTCCAGCGTAACTAGCGCCCAGGGCGGCTTGGGCGGCCTGCCCGCCCGCGCGAGGGGGTGTTTGGTGTTGGACTCCCCGCCTCTGGGATTTGCGCGCGAGTCTGCTCTCTTCCTGAGGCGCCGCGGCCCGGCGTTCTCCGCGGGCGGCGGAGAGTTCTGTTCCAGCGGTTCCCGGGTCTCACCCTCCCGCGTCTCTGCAGTCTGTGTGGACGCCAAGACCCACCGGGAGACCATGATGCTGGGCACGGAAGGCGGAGAGGGGTTCGTGGTGAAGGTCCGGGGCCTGCCGTGGTCTTGCTCGGCGGACGAAGTGCAGCGGTTCTTCTCCGGTGAGTTGGAAGCGGAGGCGGGAGTTCACGGCTCGGGCTGCGGGGCCGCCGGGCGGCCGCGCGGGGAGGTGGCGGGGCGGGGCGGGCGGGCGGGCTCGGGGCGCCCCCTGGCGGGGCGTGGGCACAGCTGTTCCCGCCGGGCCGCGGGCGCCGGGCGGCCGACGTTACGCAATGGAAACTGCGGAAGCCCCGCCCTCCCGCCTTCCGGCGCTCGGGGACGGCGGCGGCTTCCGCGCACTTTTTCCTTCGCCTACCTGTAGTCGCCGGCCCTTGTGCGGATGTCTTCGAGAGGAGGAACTGGGTTTTCCCTGCAGCCTTGAGAAAGGTGCCCCGTGCTTGGGCAGATAATAGTGATGTTTTGGAAAACCTTAAAATACAACAACGTTGCTGTTTTCGCGTGTCATTGAAAAGGGGGCGCTTTAGTTTGCAGAGTTAAACTCTCGTTTTTTAATTTCAGACAGTTTTCCTAATCAAGATGGGGTATTTGAGTTACTGGTTTTCTGGTTGTTGGTATGGGTCACTTGACGGTTGAGGACACTGAAGCCTAGGCAACTCTACTTGCCTACTAGTTTTCACCCCCAAGCACGTAGGTTTCCTGAATAATTTCTGCCATAATGTCCTTGTTCCCTTTGGTGTAAGACTAGACTGATAAAAGATTGATTTGGAAGAACTCTGCAGGTTTTGGAAGGACACTTGTAGTATTGACTTACTATCTGAATTTAGTGTTGGTAACGGAAAACGACCTGTAAAACAAGAACCAAATACCCTGGAAGCCACCTTGCAGTGGGCAAGACTGGGTTTGGCTTCAGCTGTGCAACTTGGAGCGTTTTAGCTTTGTAACATAGATCCATTTTAAGGTGAGTATTGGCTCTGAAATTTGGGTTGTACTGTTGCTGCTAGTAAGGTAAAATGATCAACGGTCTCAGACCAAAAGTTGATATAAAGTATATTCAGAAAAAATGCACTTGAATAACAAGGTCTAGCCTTAACTGAGATGTTACAAATTCTATTAGTGGAAACACATGGGTTGTAAGAACTTAGAGATTTTTGTTAGGCTGCTTCGAATGTTGAATTTTATTGATGGATTGGGGTTGTATCATTTGGGGAATAAAGTTTGATCTGGAGAAGATAACTGCTTAATCACTACAGAGAGGCTGCTGTTGGTAATCTTGGTCAATTTAGTCTTCGAATGGGATCTACTTTGCAGTATGGGTGTGAACGGGCATTTCATCTGTTATCACCCAGAGGTGGTCTTAAGTTTTAAATTCTGTATTAACGGTTGTTTTCTTTTCAGACTGCAAAATTCAAAATGGGGCTCAAGGTATTCGTTTCATCTACACCAGAGAAGGCAGACCGAGTGGAGAGGCTTTTGTTGAACTCGAATCAGAAGAGGACGTCAAATTGGCCCTGAAAAAAGACAGAGAAACTATGGGACACAGATATGTTGAAGGTTTGATTTATGTTACCCTAGTAACAGTAAAAACGTGAAACAGAGAGATTTATTTTACCCCTTCTGAATTTTAGGTATTTGACCGCATGGAAATGGTCACCTAAGGGAGTTTGTGGCAGCTCTTCCTAGATTATCTAAAGACCCAGGAAGTCTGAACTTTGTTCTCTAACTTTCCAAAATTGACTAATTCTAAGCACCTCTTTCAGTATTCAAGTCAAACAACGTTGAAATGGATTGGGTGTTGAAGCATACTGGTCCAAATAGTCCTGACACGGCCAATGATGGCTTTGTGCGGCTTAGAGGACTCCCCTTTGGATGTAGCAAGGAAGAAATTGTTCAGTTCTTCTCAGGTATGTAGTCGTGTTTGTTGCTGAGCAGTGAATTTTGGCTAGCTCTGGCAACATGATTTAATAGATCTTAAAGTTGAATAGCTTAGATACTGAAATAGGTTGTAAGTGTATACAGATGAATTCATGTTTTCTTCTTCCTGGAGACCTTCAAATAATTTATGCCCATCTTAATGGTGGAAATTAAATACTTCCAAAATGCTAACCCTTGCCTATATTTAGTGTTGTAGTTCAGGGTAGATTCTTGAGGATTGTCCTAAACAGGTTAACTACTTTCCTCACAATGCTGTTCAGCAAAGTACTTCAAGGTAAAGGTAAGATCCCTTAATATTAATTAGATCAGTGTGAGTTAGGTGATGTAGTTCCTGGCAGGTGTCTGTAATTTTAAGACACATTGAGTCCTGGGACTAGAAATGTCTCTAATGGTCTAATTTTCATGCAGAAAAACTGAAGGCAGCATCTGGTTTAGCAGGAGAATTCTAAACTTAATTGAAAGTCAAAGATCAGGTTGGATGTATAGTCTTAGTATCTGAAATACAGAAAGTATTTTAAAGTTATTCTGGGCCTAAAGTATTTGAATGTTTTTATGCTGAAGAGGTGATAAAATTGTATGTTTAGTAGAATGTTCAGTAGTATATCTTAAGTACTATTACTTGATATTCATAATGTGATAAACTGGAATTAAGAACAAGAAATCCTTTCATGGTTTAGGACAGTATGTATTAAAATTCTGACTGTTAGATATTTATCGAGTCCTAATATTTTGCCAGAATTTTTGAAATAAAGTTTGTTTTGATTGTTTTGTCTAAGTTGGTGAGAATTTAATGCTGTCAACGTTAAATATGAACATAATTTCATATCTTCTAGGAAAGTGCTTTAAGCCCTTTTTGTAAGCTTGGGAATGTATCCACGGAAAGGATTTTTCATAGACGGAATTTCCAGAAGTGAATCATGCTACTGTTAGAGCATAAGCTGCATGCCTGTGCTGTCTAGAGCAGTTGTTTGTTGCAAGTTTAGATCATGTTTGTCGATGATATATACTTAAGCAATGTTTCAATTTGTGTATAAAATGTTTAAATGTGTAAATTTAAGAATTTTGAAGTTCCACTAACTTAAAACATTGAACTATAAATATAAAGTAAGGTAAAAGGTGTTTCTTGAATTTAGTAAAACTGTTGTATTTAATGCTTAAAACTTTCTTAAATTCTTGTGTAATTTTCAACATTTAGATAAAAGTATTTGTAATTGTTGAATTCTTGATGCATCCTGTGTTGAGCAAGTTTTTTTCTTAAATACTGTGCCAAAGGGTGTGTTAAGAATTGTTATACTTAGTAATAATGGAACTTCATATTACTGCAATGCATATTTTAAAAAGTACTTGTTGAAAGCATACCATTCACCTAAAGTTAAAATTCTGGTTTATTTAAAGCTATAAGAAGAATCATTTCTGGGCTTGTGATGTTAATATTGCCCCCCTACTGGGGTTATTTGTCCTTGGGTTGAAGGGTTGGAAATCGTGCCAAATGGGATAACATTGCCGGTGGACTTCCAGGGGAGGAGTACGGGGGAGGCCTTCGTGCAGTTTGCTTCACAGGAAATAGCTGAAAAGGCTCTAAAGAAACACAAGGAAAGAATAGGGCACAGGTGGGGATGGATGGTTGGTTGGATTTGTCACTTTTCTTATGGTAAACAATTAAATCCATATTCTCTCTGCTTAGAAGAAATTAATCTATTTTCTGGTCCTAATTGATGTTTGGCCACAATTGTAAAAGTTTACCTATGTCAAAGTCCCGAAACGCATTCAGATTACATTTTAGGTTTTGAAATTGTCCTCAGTGAATTTGGTCTACTTCAGTTTCATATAATTCCTTCTTAACCCCATGAATTTGGTCTACTTCAGTTTTATATAATTCCTTCTTAACCCCAGTCAATTGAGTTGAGAGACTATGGCTTTAAAAAAAAAATGTAATGCAAATGTGGCTTTAGCTGTAATAACACCCACATAGTAAATTAATATTACCATAAGAAAATGTGATACTTTCTGATCTTGTTTTTAAAGTTGAAATGCAACAATCTTTCTTGCTGTATAAATATTCTGCATATGTATTAATAAGCATAGCTTTCAAGAAATTGTCACAAAAGGTTTTATTCTCTTTGCTTGTGACTATTTTTCATTGAAGCATGCGCTTACCTATGCTGATTCCTACTAAAAGCATAGGCTGGGGTATTTATTGGCGAAAGGAAATGTGTAGTGTGGGCTAGACTGTTGGCGGAGGCTGACTTTTTAGCCTACTTGCTATACATGCTGCCAAAGGATTTTAAGACGTGAAATGTTGAAAGTTGAGTGGAATTCTTTCCCTCCTAAAACATTTACAGTACTCCTCTCTTACCCCTAAGGGTGGGCTCTCTGCCACAGAGGAGTGAGTTTTCTATAAAGTTTACATGAAATCTTACAATTGAGTGAATTTTTGGTCATTGCCTATGCAAATATAAGAAATCTGGCTTTAAATATTAGTCAGTTTAATGGCTATGACTACATTGTTTTTTTTTGTGTAACTGAATACCTGTATGAGCAAACTAATGTTTTCTCTCCCCTCCCCATTCCCTCCCCTCGTGAACAATGCTTTAGGTATATCGAAATCTTTAAGAGCAGTCGAGCTGAAGTTAGAACTCACTATGATCCACCACGAAAGCTTATGGCCATGCAGCGGCCAGGTCCCTATGACAGACCTGGGGCTGGCAGAGGGTATAACAGCATTGGCAGAGGAGCTGGCTTTGAAAGGATGAGGCGTGGTGCTTATGGTGGAGGTATGTGAGAATATGCAGGTGTCACGGGGGTGGTTCTTTGTGATTTTTATTTGGTTTGATTGTGCTTTTTGTCTTTCAGGTTACGGAGGCTATGATGATTACAATGGCTATAATGATGGCTATGGTTTTGGGTCAGATAGATTTGGAAGAGGTAAGGTAAGAATTGAATTTCCAACTGAAGGATACTTACACTCTTTTTCATCTAGACCTCAATTATTGTTTTTCAGGAATGTCTGACCACAGATACGGGGATGGTGGCTCTACTTTCCAGAGCACAACTGGACACTGTGTACACATGCGGGGATTACCTTACAGAGCTACTGAAAATGACATTTATAATGTAAGTTAAATTCACAAGCTAGCTATTGGCATAGCAGTAAAAACTGCGTCCTTATCATACTGTTCAAGTGAAATAGCATGTTACAGAAGAAATTTGTAACATTAGAAAGTTGACTTGATTCTCTGAAATACCTTGTATTTAGTTTTTTTCACCACTCAACCCTGTGAGAGTACATATTGAAATTGGTCCTGATGGCAGAGTAACTGGTGAAGCAGATGTCGAGTTTGCAACTCATGAAGATGCTGTGGCAGCTATGTCGAAAGACAAAGCAAATATGCGTAAGTGTGATTTAAATTACCTTGGGGACTCTAATGGACTTGAGGGAGACAGACACGTCTCATTTGTTGTTTGACTTACTGATGCGTCCAGTGGTTGATTCTCGTATGTGCCCTGACTGGGGATTGATCTTGCGACCTTGGTGTATCGGGACAGTGTTATAACTAACTGAGCTCTACCCAGCCTGGGCTTTTGGGGACTCTTTACAGGTGGTCAAGTGACTAACATTTATGATAGAGGAATAGTAAGGATGTGTGAGAAACATTTCCTGATAATAGTTAGCTCCTCGAGATGTGTTTAAAATTTTTTGGTGGATTTTTAAAATTACTTGACTGAAAAGGATTTGTGATACAAACATTGACTTGAATCATATACTTGAAAAACTTAAAGCAACTTAAGTGAATGTTTAAAACAAAAGGTTACTTTTTGGAAAAGCTGCATAGGTAATCACCCGAGTGAAGCAGCTAGTCTTTAATTAACCAAAAAAGTATTTGAAGTTGAGGTCTTGTTTAAGAATTTAGTGCTTATCTTTTTGTCTTTCACCAACAAACATTTTCAAACTTTTTTCTTCTCATTTCAGAACACAGATATGTAGAACTCTTCTTGAATTCTACAGCAGGAGCAAGCGGTGGTGCTTACGGTAGCCAAATGCTAGGAGGCATGGGTTTGTGTAAATATCACTTTAGTGTCTTTTTTTTTAAGCTAACCTTGTATACCTTTTCTCTCATTTCAGAACACAGATATGTAGAACTCTTCTTGAATTCTACAGCAGGAGCAAGCGGTGGTGCTTATGGTAGCCAAATGATGGGAGGCATGGGCTTGTGTAAATATCGTTAGTTTTTTTAAAAACCAAAACATTTGTATTTGTATAAGTCAATTATATGTTAATTTATATTAATCAGTTTAGCATAATTAAGCAAAGAAATTACTTGAATTTTGTGTCAGTTAAATCTTTGAGTTACATGAAACTGCTTAGAACAGATAACTAAATTAGTTTTTAAGTACTTTTGGGGGAGGGATTACAGAACAAAACTAGTTGGGCCGTCTATAAAGTATAAATCTAAACAGAAAGCACAGAATCAAAATAAACTTAAATTTCTGGACATAATTAGTTGGGCATAAATTAGGTGTACAGTAAATACCTGTGTATTGACATAGCTTTAATATACCAGATTATGGGGAACAACCCCTCTAAATCCAGTTAAGTAGTTTCATAACGTTTTCTCAGAATGCCTCTGGAATGTGGATTTAGTCCTGCTGATGTGTATACTGTTGGCCAGTTGGTTTATAAATGTTTGACTAGTTGAAATGATGGATAGAAAGGTAGTGTGTTCATAGAAAATAGGCAAAGGTTATAGTGTAAGATTGAGACTGAAAATTGTAGATTTAGAATTACAAGCCCGGTACCACCAGGTACCACATTACATAGCAGATAAGATTCCAATGTTCTCTTAACTTGACAGCAAACCAATCCAGTTACGGTGGCCCAGCCAGCCAGCAGCTGAGCGGTGGTTATGGAGGCGGCTATGGTGGCCAGAGCAGCATGAGTGGATATGGTAAGTGTGTACTTAATATACTTATAGTAAGTTTTAGGTAGATTTCCTTAGTTGGGGGAATATGTAGGCTCTCCTTTTTTTGTGAAATTGGGTTAAGTGTATGCTTTTGATCCTATTATAAAATCTGTTTTTAATAGTTTAATTTTCAGAACCAGTCATTGGGAGGGGGAAGTGTTCTATAAATTTAATATGCAACTTGGAATAATGTCATTCCGGAAAACATCTGCCTCCACTTATTAAAACACTAAGTAACCATGTTGCTTTTTTTCTGCCTTTCGGTTAGCATTAAATCCATTTTAGATGGAGGGAGAATTTAAAAGAGTAAAATGGTGGTTGGGTTTAGGACTGTATTTACTAGTCAGTTAACCTAGGATTGGTTTTATTTTTTTCAATTGGTCTAAAGAATGGTGATTTTGGTATTATAGTCTTACCCTACAAAATCCTTTTGCAGACCAAGTTTTACAGGAAAACTCCAGTGATTTTCAATCAAACATTGCATAGGTAAATATTTCCTCAAAAAATGTAATTTAAATTCCCAATAGCAAATACTGATATGTTGTGCTAACACTATTTTCATAGCAGTCAATGGCTGTGACTTAACTCCATGGAGGCTGCCATTTGGGCACAGTGAGTTGCCGTTAGCCCCACGTTGTGTCTCACTCCTGCCCACCATGAATAGGGGAAGCAAGACACTGCCCATGCTCCCTGTTCACACACGCCATTTGACAGACATGTTGTGAATGTTTATGGGAAATTTTTTTAAAGTGCCTTGTTTAGTTTTAAAAATACGTAATTTTGCAATTTTTGAAAAACACTAGTTTTCCTTTAAACTTAATTTTCCATGTTGATCCTGAAGCATCTGTTCTAAATGGTAGCACAAGAGTCTGGCAAGTTGGTACTACTACAGAAAGAAGGGATTAATTGAGACTTGTTTGGAGTCGGGAGTCCCCTTTCCCAAACATGCTTCTCGCCACTTGGACGGCAGCCATTTGTACTCGTATATTTTTTAAAAACTTTTTTCTGGAATGTGCTGTATTTTATTTACTTGACGGATTATGTGGTACTTCTCCTGACTTGTCAAAATGGTCTCTTTGCAGGCAGCCAAGGAGCAGTGAACAGCAGCTACTACAGTAACGGAAGCCGTGCATCTGTGGGAGTGAACGGAATGGGAGGGATGTCTAGCATGTCCAGTATGAGTGGTGGATGGGGAATGTAATCGATCCTTGTCGCTGACTCTTGGTCAATATTACTTTAATGGGGGAAAAAAACATGAAACAAGTTTAACAGTTTTGCAATACAAGCTTGTGAATTATGCTTTGAGTGGAAATCAGGATTGTTTTAAACTTAAGGTTCAGTATTTTTGAACACAAATATCATCTAGGATGTAACAACTAAGTTGAGTAAACTATAACTGTTAAACAATTTTTAGCTTTTCTCAAGTTAGTTCTATTGTAGGGTGTACTTAAGCAGTAAGTATATTTAGGTTAAAGCAGTTGAATTATGTTAAATGTTGCTCTTACACCACATTACCCTGAACACTGTTTGGAAGCATGTTGGAAGACATGCTTTTTTTTGTAATACTCAATATAGGAGCTGTCTCAACAATTAAAAGTGAAACATTTGGCATGTTTGTTAATTCTAGTTTTCATTTAATAACTTCTAAGGCACGTAAGGTTAAGCTTTTTTTTTTTTTCTTTTTTAAGTTAATGGGGAAAATTTGAGACGCAATACCAGTACTTTAGGATTTTGGTCTTGGTGTTTGTATGAAATTCCAAGGCCTTGATTTAAGTCTTTCATTGCATTGTGAGTTCCTTTTAGGTGTATTGCGCTAAGTGAAACTTGTCAAATAAATCTTCCTTTTAAAAACTGCACTTTGTCTTGTCTGTGCTTCAGTGTCATGTGGACTGTTTCTTGGTGCTCTATTCCTGCCTGGGGCGTAGGTGACATTGGCCCAAGTCTCTGGCTGTGGCAGAGAGGCTGTTGTGTAGATGTCTTCAGACCTCCCTCCAATATAAAGGAAGGTAATTGTAGCTTTGGGGTCGTGGCTGCGCCAACCCTGATAATGTATGCACCACCCTTGACTGGCTAAGCACTTGGAAAGAGCAGAGGTGGACATGCCCTCACTGCATGCTGCATGTCCAGTGGAGGCCTTCCAGCATGGCTGAGCTGCGAGTGTTGTAGGATAAGGGTGGCTGGAGCTGCCCTTCCCAGTTGGGTGTGGCCCCCCCCCCCCCCCGCCTTTTTTAGTGGTTTTGGAGAAACACTGATTTGTTTCACTGGTTGATTTCTTGCATGTTCCCTGATAGGTCATCAGACCCACAACCTTGGGGTGCTTTAACCAACTGACTACCTAGCCAGGGCTTCAGTGACATCTTTTGAGTTCTAATATGAAGTGTCCCCTGGGAGCTAGATTTTTTTTTTTTTTTTTTAGGGAGGGAGAAAAACAATGATGTGTGGTTGCCTCTAGAGACACTCCCTATTGGGGACTTGGCCCCCAACCCAGGCATGTGCCCTGACTGGGAATTGAACTGGCAACTCTGGTTTGTTTCCCAGCACTCAGTCCACTGGGCCACACCAGCCTGGGCAGATGTTTTTATATTTTTGCTTCATTCCTAAAAATCCAAGACCACTTAAGAGCAAAATTTCTTACAAAGTTCTGATTCTGAGGTGGAATACCACATACTTCTAAGTAAAAGTGACTATTTTAAGTCATTAAGTATAATCTAGATTAGATTTCATATTTGATATTTGCTAGAAAATTAGTTTAAAGCTAAAAGTAGTTCCAGAAAACCCTTCCACAAGTACTTCACTGCAGTGTGAGACCCTCCATCTAGACGAGTGGTTTTCAGCCTTTTCCATCTCATGGCACATACAAACTAATTACTAAGATTGTGCAGCACACCAAAAATATAGAACTACCTGACAAAATACACAATTTTGGTTTATAAGAATAATGGTAATTACCATTTTTGCTCCAAAGTGACTTAAAAATCAGGTTGCCTATGTTTGTATATAAGGATTTCTAGTACCAAGAATTAACCAGTCAGATGCAAATTTACCTGAAACAACAAGGTACAACTCTCAATATGACATTTATGGTTCAAGAGAATGGGGTACTCATGTTAGATAGCTGTTTGACAACGTAAGGAAAAAGAAGTTAGTGCCCTTTGATAAATCCAGTATTGCATGTAACAAAATGACATGTTACCAAGATTCATTGTTGGACTGAGGGTTTCAGCAGCACGTCTAGGCTCGTGCTGTTGGATGTCTGGTGTGTGTGCCTTGCTATGACAGTGCAGAAAGGTTTCTTCTCTGTCCTGGGTGAGGTCAGTGTGGTGGAGCTACTCACTCCTGAGTCTGTGTGATGACACTGAAGGACACTGCTTGCAGGCCCTGTGCCTCCTGCCCTGCTGCATGCCCGCTGCTGGCTGCTGAGTTCCACGCTGTCAGGACAGGCCTGTGGGTGCCAGGTGGTGTACTTGGAATGGATCGTGTTGCTTGTTCGGAAGTTTTCAGAGATGAATTAATTTCAGTGTGAGCACTGGTGTTCAGCTACAATCTAACCCTAGTGTGGCGCCTGTGATCTTGGCTGAGTTTTTAAACATCCATGGGTTGGAGACACTTGGTGTTGAGTTTGAAGGAAGGCTCCTTCCCTGAGTCCTTCTCTAACTTGCTTTACATAAGGAACATTTTTGTTGAAAGACAAGGGAAGGGAAGGCAGGGAACTAGAGCTAGAAACGTGGAGTAAAGCTAATAAGCAAGCTAACCCAGAACTGGTTCTTAGGAGCCTTGTGTTCTGTGGACTAGCACCCTGGGAGCTTGTTAGGGATGACCAGAGCCTCCAGGCACTGCGCCTGCATTTTAACACCAGCCCCCACTTCAACCCCAGGTAACGAACCCCTGCACCTACCCTTGCACATCCCCTTGAGAAGGAAGCACTGTTTTAGAGCATCTGCCATCATTGCCCACGATGGGGGAAGGTTGTTTGGTCTCTTGGGTAAAAATTTCTCTTCCGTGCAGCTAAATATTGGACACTGGCAGAAGGATACTTTGTGAATGATGCTTGCTGAACCTTTGTTGGTTGGGAGTGGGGTAGGGGATGTGGTTGGGGGAGGAAATAGGTGTGATAAAGGGAAGAACGCTGAGTGTGGCACAGTGGTGAGCAAGCCCTATACTCAGATGAGCATTGAGAGCAGTTCCAAAGTGCTTCCTTTTGTATGTGCAGATGCCCACTGAGGCTCAGAAGTGCAGTGACGTACCTAAGGGTCCCCACAAGCTGAGTCTAAACTGGTGCAGTGAAGACAAGGTACATGTGTTTAATGCCAGACGACCAGTTTGGGACAGTGCAGCAAATGCTCAGGAGGGTTGGTCCCTGGATAGACTTTGAAGACCTGTAGCTTGGAGAAAACAGCTGTGGAGCTTGGCTGCACGCATCCTGGGATCTAACCTCATGGTTCTCCTGTCTCCCACCCATAATAAACATGTATTTAAGGGAGCAGCCGATTTGGAACCTGAGCCAGGGTGTGGGTGAGCCTTCTGCAGGGAAAGCCATCCCGGGAAAGGAGAGCCAGGGCCTCCAGCAAGGTCTGGTCAGCGGAGAGCAGTCTGGAGGAGCTGGTAGGAGATGGCAGGCAGGCAGTTGAGTAGAGTAGATGAGTCCACCAAGGGTTGAGACCTAAATCAGGAATGAACTGGGTGCCTCTATCACTGTTCTTAGAACATCTGAGCCATTCCCGCTGCATGTGCTCTGAGGACGGCTATGAGCCCTTTGTCACAGCTCATGCCCTGACCTACCTGCCCTTGGAATTCAAAGCCCTGGGTGTCTCCATCTGTCTTTATCTGTATCACCTGCCCCTTAGTATGTAAAGGGGAACTTCTGAGCTTTGCTGAGAAGTTGCTTAAGGTCACTTCCTGTGCCACTAATGGACTTAGCTCACCTGGGCAGAGCATAGCCTGTATCCCAGAACCCAGCAGGCTTCTGGGTTGTCACCCCAAACATAGCCACAAAAGGCCTTTTGTCCTGGAATGGGGGTTGCTCTGAGGCGCCCTCCAGAGGCCAACTCAAGTTGACACAAGTTCCTTTGATTTCTGCATGCAGGTGAAAAATCAGTGATTTTATTGCAGGGCCAATAGGGACGGACGCTCACAAGGGTGTGAAATGGCTCATTTCTTGACTCAAGCAGGGAAGGCACACGGGGCAGTGGGAGAGGAACCGAATGCTCACTACACTGGTATGACTGTTGCAAAATAGGTTAATTTTTGGAAAAGTGAAAAATGACAGTAACAAAACCACCAAGTTAATCTGACCCTAAACTGGTGATGCAGCCGAGTGCCAGGGAAGTCTGGATCCAGAGTTCATACCGTCAAGCTCCGAAGGTGATGGGGCTCTCTGTCCCACAGCCAGTGGCCACGTGGGCGCAGTCCAAGGCCTCAGGAGCTGGTGGAGGAGGAACAGCGCTGCAGGAGCAGGGTGTGGCAGCTGTCGCACACGCGCACCGGCTTCGGGTAGGAGGGCAGGGCCAGCTCGTTGCCAGAGCAGGTGCTGCAGAAGATGTGGCCGCAGTTCCGGCAGTGGTGCTAGGGGACAGAGGGGGCTGTGGGGTGTGCTGCCTCTCACACTGCTTGCTCCCTGGCTGCACCCCAACTGAGATGCCTAGCCTTTCAGAGTTCACTTACTGTTTCTAGAGAAATGGGCTAATTTGGGCCTTCAGTTTTATGCGTTGGGTCCTGTAAAACCTGCAGGTGAGTGTGGGCCTAGGGGCGTGTACTCTGCATGAGGTTCTCTCTAAGGCTCTGTTTCACCAGGCAACTGCTGCGATCCTGGTGCTCTTCCTTTGTAAGCAGAGCTGCCTCTCCCAGCTCTACACCACTAGTGCCAACTCGCACAGCCCATCAAGCTAGGAGGTGGGCCCCAACCTGGGGCCTGGAGGGCCTGGCCTGTGAAGCCCCACTCTCGAGCATCAGCCTCAGGGTGGCTGCTCATTTTGACTAGGATTTGGGGGTTTTGCTTATTTTCCAGAGAGGGTTTTAAGGAGGCAGATGAGAATGTGCACCCACATGGCAGCAGGGAAAGAGGAGGTGCCAGTGTGGCAGGTGCCCCCCGCCCCCGCCCAAGTAAGGACTCCCAGTTGTGCGTGGGGTCTGTACCCTGTGCCTGTTCTGCCCAATTGGTCATTTAATGGTACTGTCAATCCTGGACCAATTTCTTAGAACCTGGAGGGAGGGCCCAGGCAGAGGAGCAGGTTAGCTGGGGGCAGCCCCCAGGGGGCAAGTACCCTGCCCAGGAGGCCTGTGAGCTGCTGATGCTACCAGGATACCTGCCCCAAGACCTGCTGCCATGTTTCCCCATAGATCCTGTTTCTTACTAACTTGGCCAGACTTCAGTCCTGTTGGATACAAAGAATTTTCAATGATGCACTCATGACCAGTTTTGTATGCAAGCAGCCCAGCTCTCAAAGGAACGTACCAGTATAGAAAAGACCTCTGGGGACAAGGCCTATGACTGACTGGCAGGGCGCCCCTAGCATGAGTGGTCTGTATGGGCTGGCACACCAGCAAGTGATCCCACAGTGCAGTGGGCCTAGTCCCAAACACTTCCCAGAACCTGAGGGGAGTCCCCACAGGGCACAGCCAGCCTCTGGGCGTGTGCTGCAGGCTCACCCACATACCTTCCTCCTTGAAATGGAGAACTCCTTCTCACACTGCTTGCAACGTGTGGCTTCGTCATCTTTCAGCCACGTGTGGCCCTACGAGGAAAGAATGTGGATGGCTGGCTTCTGATGAACCTATAGCTCTTGTGGGTGCCCAGCGTCCTTGCAAGGGACCGGCTCACAGCTGGAACTCTGCTGCAGACCCTGCCTGCCCTCTGGCT